CCCTCCCCCACCCCTCCCCTTTTATAACCACTAGTCCCTTTTTGGAGTCTGTGAGTCTGCTGCTATTTTGTTCTGAAGGTATCTTTTTAAACCATTCTGCACAGATAACACAATTACATTATAATTACATATTAACATAAATACACATATTATACATTTACATATATACATATATAAGTCAAGTGCATGTGTGTCATTTCATACACACACACACACACACACACATAAGCGTCTCAGCAACTATCAGTTGGAGGACTGGTTCTAAAGACAACATCAGATTGGTGATTATAGCAATAATTCATAATTTTCCAGCAATAAGTTCCTTCAAGTTTTATCTTTCATATCTATGTGTATACTTTCACTGTTTTTTTAAATGCCTATTTTATATAAATACAAAGCATCCCCTATTGTCTCTAAGAACATCTATATAAAAATTCAACCCAGCCTGTACATACATACTGAAAATAATAGGCACCACTAATTCTTGTGCACTTGGACTGATATTCACACAGTGTTCCTTATGCCTGAACTATTTCCAAGCAGTAGTAATTACCATGCTTCTCATCAAGCCGGGCTGAACACATTAAGAATATGCTTTCTGACCTCTGTAATTGCTATTTATTACTCAGGATTATCAAGAGGAAATTGCTGTTGCCCAAGAGAACAAAATACAGCTCCAGCAAATGGGAGAACGACTTGCTAGAGCCAGCCATGAAAGTAAAGCATCTGAGATTGAATACAAGCTCGGGAAGATCAATGACCGGTGGCAACACCTCCTGGATCTCATGGCCGCCAGGTAAAAAGGGCCTTGTCAGTAGGACGCATGTGCAGAATTTTAAAGCCTTCCATCTGCCTTTCATTTCAGCTAAAGAGAAGCCAATAAATCTCTCTGTGTTCTTTCCCCCACCATTTTAGTTCTTGCCTTTCTCATAATATGTCACTTTCATTAACTTTAAAATTCTTATTTCGTAAATGTAGGTGTGTTTGCCTTTAACTGAAAGAGGGAGATTCATTTCCTAACAAAATCAGTTCCCAAGATCCATGTTAGTGCTTCATAGGTACTCAGCTTCCTGTAAGGAAAGAAGTGGAAGTGCTGGCAAGTATCTGTGGTGGAGGGTGTTTTTGTTTACCATAGCAAAAAAAAAGAAAAGAAAATCACATTCCTACTCTATTTCTGGCTCACAAGAATAACTGGGAATAAGGTTGATTATTGCCACTGTGCTTAGGTATAAAAATAATCTGCTGCATTGTATAGTTGTGTGCTCGGCTTTAATGATGACTAAGTGCCTGCCTCGTGCTGGAGGGGAACCCTGCATCCAGTTGCTGTTGCAGGCTGAGTAAAAGGGCTGAAAGTCAAAAAGGAAAAAAAATACAGAAGGGCCTTGGCTAGCAATATAAAAGTCTGATGTGATTGAGTGAGACACTGTCATTTGATAATAATAGGGAACTCCTAGGTAGATTTATTTTGGGTGAACTTGGCTTCGTGTTGGAATGCAGGCTCCGTGAGGGCAGGCATCTTTGTCCATTCTATTCGCTGTGTATCACGAGTACCAAGAACATTGCCTGAACACAAATTGGGCTCTACAAATAGCTGAATGAATGAACAAATACATGAATATTTGAAGGGACATTCTTCACTAGGGCAGTTAGGAGTTGGAGCGTCAAAAATACTTTGGATCCACAGCCACTTTGGAGCTCTCCCACAATGTGCTTTTTTTTCCTGGGTCCTTTTCCTTAGTCGGGCTGCATGAAGGTGGACATGAAATGGTGACTTTTGAATACTGTTCACTCACAAAAACTGCATATAAGCACAGCATATCCTCATGTTGATTTTGAAAACAGTATTTTGTTTTCCATAAGGGGACTTATCAAAGAGGGTCTAATTTAAGAAAAAGGGGGATTGTAATTTATTTTCATGATAATGGAACAGAAATGAAATAAATTTCTACCAATTTTCAAAATGTTTAACAGTAGCACTGTAATAGCTAACATTTACTGAGCCCTTAGTTTTTGCCAGTGACTGTGCTACAGGCTTCCTATGCATCTTCTCCTGGGTCGTTCACACCCCCCTTTGAAGTGGGCGTTATTATCAGTATACCCATTTTCCAGATGCAGAGGCCGAGGCCCAGGCTTGCCTGTGCTCAGGCTGCCCCAGGCACTGTTTGACTCCACCCACATGCCTTGGAGCACTACACTCACCTTCCTGCCAAGCTTATGACCTCCTTGTCCCCGTGCAAGAGAATACATTTTAAAGGAAATTAGGTTCTTTCATTTATTTTGACAATCCAATTTCTCAATCTTTTGTTTGTAAAGTACTGACAGCAACTATGGAGGTTTGGGGGATACAAAGACAGAGACCCCCCCCTTTGAGTTCATGGGGGGCATGTACAGACATGCAGAGAAATCAAGTAAAATGATGAGACTAAAGCTCTGATAAAGGTAATATAAAGAGCTGGAAACCTGAGTTAGCTTCAGTCTAAACTGCACCAAGTATTTGGGCATATACAGGTTTTAAAACAGTGATGCTATGTTTAGCTTCACTTCTCAGTCCCTGATAACCAAATCTTTTTTCAGAGGGAGAAATTGAAGCTCTTTGTGCTATAAATATTCTTCTTAGGGAAGCCGCCCACTTGGTAAACATCCCTGGATTGTATCAGTCAGATTATGATTTATGGGTTGGCTTGCATTGCCATATAATCCCGTTAAGATAGTTCATATTCTTTTCTAATTTTTCATGGGCCAATATGGGAATGTCCTTGTAAAGGGTGTTTTAAATGAAATGTAATGTGAGTTAATGATAAGTAGCTCCATTAGTGTATACTCAGCTGTTAGCCACCATTACATCAAATAAATTAGGTGTTTTCTCCTCAAAGCCATGTTTGCTTATAAGTTTTCTGTCTGGGTCAAGTTTTCAAGAAAATCAAGAATTTTCTAGATGCTACTTATTTTTCCAAAGGCACATTAGTAAATTTGGATAGATTAAATATTTATATGGCACACATGCTTCGTATAGTAGTCACTGAAATGCTTCTATGTTTCAACTTTTGTAGAGTCTGATCATACACAGATGTAATTCCTGCAGGAGATTTTTATATATGTGTTGTCCATTTCTAATTGCTTCCTTCCGAAGTAGACCAGCGACATGTTGACCATTAATTTGTCCTGGAGTTTAATGCCACACTGAATTCATAGTCTCCTTGAAGCCTGTCCTAAATGACACTCGGTCATCACATTTGCTTTCCATTCCCTTATTTATCAGAGCTTTGCTAGTGCACGTCATGGATGACCATCTCCCACACTCATCTCCAACTATCACCAGCCAGCTACAATATTAAGCTTCTGTGATTCAGTCTCATTCACCACTCTTCCCTTTTCCAACTTTTTTTCACACTGATTCATTAAAGCAGAACATAATTTTTTTAATTTTCTGTGTCATTATGGTATTCTTGTGGGCATGGAAAGGTTATCTTTGAAGAAGATCATATTTTTAAGGGACAGCTTCCCAGCTAAGAGAAACAGGAAAAAGAAAGAAAAAAGATTAACTGATAATAAACCTGTTACTTACAAACAGAATGCATAACTTTGAGTCAACTCCTATCACTAGTAGATGAACTTAGACCATCATGAGTACAAAACAAATGGGTTTTGCACTGAATTTTTAAACTGTCACCAAGCATTGTTAGCTTTTTAGGATAACAAAATTTGCTGTTATTTATAGGGAAAATGGGTAAGATTCTGGTAGTCTTTGCATACTATCTAGACCTGCCCAGTCCAATATAGCAGTCCCTAGCTACAAGTGGCTATTTAACTGAAATGCAATGCCATTAAATTACAGTTTAATTTTAATTACAGTCAGTTGCACTAGCTTCATTTCTAGTGCTCAATAACTACATGAGATAATGGCTACCTTACTGGATACTGCAGATACAGAACATTTCCATTATCCCAGAAATGTCTATTGCTTAATGCTGGCCAAGACAATTAAAAGCAATTTCTGAGCTCTTGGCTTTAATTAAGAGTCAACATAAGAAACAGTGCACTTGTAATTTCTGTAAAACTGTCTTCAAGGGTTCTGGCTCTCATTTTCCCACATAGCATTTTCTAGATCTCAGGACTAACAGGAAGTGTGTCTTCTAGTATTAGTTGTTCAGTGCTTATAAAAGACAACACATTATTGAATGTTTCCCATCTTGGTTTCAAGGAAGGTGAGACCCAAGCTGTTTTTTATAGAGACCTTTTTAAAAAAATTACTTTCTAATATAAGCATATGCTTCCCTCTATCAAACCTAAAAGGCCCCATCACCAAAACAAAAGCACATTTTAGTTATTTGGCTTTTTTTTTCAATAACAGCTTTGTTGAGATAGATTCACATGCCGTACAACTTACCTAGCAAAAATGTACAATTCAGTGAATTTTTGTATATTTACAGAGCTGTGTGTGTGTGCATCACCACAGTCAATTTTAAAACATTTTCATCAACCCCAAATAAAAGTCTTAATCACTTCTACCCCTTCCACTCTCCCTCCTTCCCCTGGCCCCAGACCACCATGAATCCACTTTCTGCCTATTCTGAACTGTTCGTATACATGGAATCATACAATTGATGGTCCTTTGTGACTGGTTGCTTTTAATCTGTATATTTATTATAATTCCCTAAAACATTGTATAGATGTAGAGTAAAAACAAATATGATGTTTTAAAAATTATCAAATGACTCCCATGTATGAAATACTGTGCATGTTGCTACAGGACAGAGGTTGCCAAACTTTCTGCACAGAAACCATATTGTAAATATTTTACGCTTCCTGGGCCAAATGGCCTCTGCCAAAACCCCTTTGCCATTTTATCACAAAAACAGCCAAAAATAGAAAAGCCCAGCTGAGTTCCAATAACATTTTGTTACCAAAGCAGGTGGCCAACTGTAGTTTGCTGACACCAAAGCTAGGGATATAAAGATGAAAAAGAAGATGTTACATAACCAGAGAGAGTGATAAAACGGGTATACACCTGACTTCTCACCTCAGGGCCTTTCTGTGTGGCATCTTGCTGCTCCCCGTCCTGCCCCCATCTGGCCCCTGATTGCCCTTCCTGTTCTTGCCTTTCTCCACATGAGGTCAGAGTCTGCCTACCTGCTCAGCTGGTAGTACTCTGTACTCCTTGATAGCCTTTCCCCCCGCTACAGTAAACGTCTTGTGGGATGAGATGCCTGAAGTTTCTTTCTCTACCGAAATCCAAGTGTATCTAACTTGGTCACTGTGGTAATCCTGTGACCTAACGCCATTCTGTGCATGTAACAGTCCCTCCCGTTTCTCCAGTCTAAGACATAGGATGACAGTACCGTACATACAGATGAGAACAAGGCAGAGCCTCAGCTTAGAGCTTCAACTGCCTGCATTTTAATGTGTTTCTACTGCACATGCACTGTGACATCAGACAAGTTACTTATCTTCTCAGTACCTCCACTACTGCCTATGTCAAAGGTTCCAGAAGGATTAAATGAGGTAGTACCTGCAAACCCCTCGGCACACTGACTTTCTCAGTAGAAGTCAGCTCCCATCCCAGAGGGAGCTTAGAGACTGTGTAGGCAAACCACATACGCAGTGCAGGGAAGACTTTGTGAGGTTGTAGCAGCTGTGCTTGGAAGATGTTTCAGTCTCACAGGAGTTCTACCCACATTAGAGGAAAAAGAAACTCGATTCTTGGAATTTATGACTGGTCTGATCTCCTTGTAGTCAATTCCAAAAAGCTTGGCTGGGATCAAGAATATGTTGGTGCAGCAAGCACCGAGACAGCAC